TTAGCTCATATAAATGTATGCAAAATATAAATCGATATTGGTAAACGAAAAAAAGATCATTTTTTGAGATGGACTAAGGAATACAATTGATAAAATGTTCGGAGATAAAATTCTCAGTTTTAGATAAAACTTACCTAACGTCATCGAAACTTGTGGACAACCCATTCATATTAAAAATTCAACCAATAAATAGAAATACTAATTCTGAGAGGGTAAATGGAAAAACAAAAACAGAAGAATCAATTTCCGTACAACCAATCAAAATTATTCGATTTCTAATTTAATAATTTAATTTTCGATTGTTTTACTTCGTTTGTTTGCTCGGTAGTCTGTAGTTTGTTTTGGAAAATGAATAGTTCTTATTTAAAATAAATGTCCATTTTACAAAGGTGGGCATTAACTTGTTAAAAAGTTAAAGTTAAGTTAAAAAGTTAATTTTTTTTTAACTTTTTAACTTAACTAGTTAAATATTTTTGTTTTTAACTTATTAACTTATTCAGTTAAAATGTTTATTGTTGTAACTTAACTTTTTATAGTTAATTGTCATTGTCATGCAGTTAAGTTAATTTAATTTTTGAGTCATGCGTAATCAACTAGGCAATACCGATTGGTCGACTTTTTTACGATTTTAGTAATTTATTTTTGAATTATGTATTATAATAATTTAATTTTTTACACAGTGTTAAATATCTTGGTAAATGTTTTTGTATAACAAAATACCTACTATGGTAGTATATGACTTAAAAATATTGTACCTTCAAAAAAAAAATTTTTTTTAATTTTTTTAAATGAAATAACTTTTTTTTTAACTGAGATAAGTTAATTTTATTTTCTCTCTTAACTTTAAACTTATCTAGTTAATTTTTTTTCCTTGTTAACTTTTAACTTAACTGAAGGCAATTTAAATGAATTAACTTAACTTTCCACAGTTAATTATTTTCATTAACTTGCCCACCATTGCCATTTTAATTATTTTCACAATATTGAGTCACATAAATATTTGGTTTTTTTTATAAGATTGTCTGCTAAATATTTTAATATTTGGTGAAAAATGGTCATAATTTTAGTCCAAAAAAATGTTTGGAGGAAAGTGGTATCTAACCTTTTTTTATTTCGGAGGAAAACGGAATCTAATTTTTGAAAGAAAATAGACCCGCTCCATACTGTGTTTCAAAAGTCTTCATCCAATTACGATCTGATATATTTCGGGAATGGTTAATCGCAGGTTAATGACCAATGTATTAATGGAAAGATTAGATAACTAAGTTTATTTTAAGTTATCTAGTTGATAAATTTGGCACCGTAATAGTTAGTGAACTAGGAATCGTTAGTTTGTTTCGTTATGGCGACTCCGCAACAGAAAGCATTTTGCGTCTTACGTTTCAATAAGTGCGAGTCGGCGATAACCGTTCAACGTGATTTTCGAAGAACTTATGGAACTGAGCTCCTACTGCTCAAAGCATTCGACGTTGGCACCAAACTTTCCAAGAAAGTGGTTGTCTGTGTGCACAGAAACGCTCAGGTCGACCTCGTACCTCTGACGAAAACATCGAGCGAGTTCGACAAAGTTTCGTTCGAAGTCCACAGAAGTCTACACGTCGTGCAGGCTTAGAGCTAGATCTCCCACATTCGACCGTTTGGCGTGTTCTACGACGTCGTTTGACATTGAAGGCATACCGAATACAACTGTTACAAGCCCTCCTACCGGATGACAAACAAAAAAGGATTAATTTTTGCAATTTCATATTCGAAAAACAAGAAGAAAATGAGTCATTTGTTTCACGCATTGTTTTTTTCGGACGAAGCCACATTTCATCTAAGTGGAAAAGTGAACCGCCATAATGTTAGGATTTGGGCTTTAGAGCAACCACACGCAACTGTTGAGCATCAAAGAGATTCACCAAAAATCAATGTTTTCTGTGCAATTTCCAGGAAAAAAGTTTACGGTCCATTTTTTTTTGAAGAAAACACAGTAACGGGTAACACATGTCTAAACATGTTGCAAACATGGTTGTTTCCACAGTTACAAGCGGATAGTGATGATTTTGTTTTTCAACAAGATGGAGCACCGCCGCACTGGAAGTTAGAAGTTCGCCGGTATTTGAACGGTGAACTCCCTCAGCGGTGGATTGGGCGTAAAGGAAACGACGATTTGGCGATTCATCCCTGGCCACCACGTTCCCCTGACCTCACAGTGTGTGATTTTTTTTTATGGGGCTACATAAAAGATAATGTGTATGTACCACCATTACCTACAAACTTGGAAGAGCTTAAAATCAGAATCAAAGATGCTGTTAATGCCGTGACACCAGATTTGATCAGCAACGTTTGGGTAGAATTTGATTACCGTATAGATGTGTGTCGGGCGGCCGGTGGGGGTCATATTGAACATTTGTAACCAAAGTAAATAAAACTTGACTATTTTAAGAATATATTTTACTTTATTTAACCCTTATATCTTCATTTTTAATATAAATATAATATTCTGAAATCGGATGAAGACTTTTGATACACCCAGTATATTATATTTTTAAAATATTTTTTTGGATTTTGTCTAATTTTAAATACTTGATAATAATATGTGTTGTATGTATACCATCATGCGGCGGCGAACATTATCGTCGACCGCCGTAAATAAAATAGAAGTTCACTAAAAATTTCAATTGACTTTATAAGTTAAATGTATTTTTATACTTGTTAAGAATTGTATTTCTCTTTAAATTTGTAGTAAAGGTAAAAATATAAGAATAAGAATGACGGTAAAATGATTGATAGGCATTTGTAAACATAGTTTTAGTTGGTTATTATTAAAACGAATATAGGAAAAAAATCGCCAAAGTTAGACCTAACCGTACTGTTGAATACAGCTGTCAAAAATAATAATTAATAATAAAAAAAATATTATATACAATTTGAATGCCAATTATTATATTATTATATTATTGATAAATAGGTATCTATTGCTAGTATATATTGCTATCTATAAATATGTCTTTCTCTATTTATTTATAAACGGTTAGGTATACCTTTTGGTAATAAAAATTAAAAGTACTGTAAGTAGAATCTTAAATGAAAAAAAATCAAAAATGTTACAATCTCAAAAAATGAATATTCAAAGTGCTTGTACTTTTCAAGGTCAAGCTTATCAGTCAATTTCGAATCTTAGAGATAATTTTTAAGATATTTTAAATACAGCAGAACTAATATGTTCAAAATGGAATATACCTACAGATTTTAAAACTAATAAGCGACAGGCATTTGCTAAACATTATTTCGATGAAGTAGATGGAGATAGACGTTTAAATACAACAAAAGATAATTTTAAAGTCAAGGTTTTTTTCCAATTATTGACACCATTTTGTTTCAAATTCGTAGACGATTTGAAGGATTATATGAAGTTGCAAGTACGTTCAGTTTTTTAAATTCTTCTTCATTAAAAGAAAAAAATGAAGCTGATATTATCAAAGCATCTTATGATTTTGCTGTAAAATATGACATAGACATTAGTTCTGATTTTACTCGACAAATATTGTCTTTTAAGTCAATTATTAATCAAATTTAATTGCCTAATATCCTTAGTATGGTAAATAACTTAATAGAAAATTATCTTTCAAGTAGCTTTCCAGATATTATTACTGCATGCTCGATATTTTTAACTATACCTGTAACTGTCGCTTCAGCCGAACGATCATTTTCTAAATTGAAACTTGTGAAGAATTATTTAAGAAATACAATTTCTCAAGAAAGACTCAATAATATTTCAATTTTAAATATAGAAAGGGAGCGCACCGAATAACTAAATATTGACCAAATAATTAACAATTTCACAAATCAAAAAGCAAGAAAAAAAAAATTTAAAATCTAACACTAATATTCAAATTAGGTAGGTAATACAATTAGTATTAATAATACTAATTTCTGACTTTCTGATATAATTTCGATAATTTTAGATTCTGAGTGAAACGATGAATGTATTGATTTTACAATGATGTGTGTTTTTTTATTTTGGGTCTGTGTACACGATAAGTAGTCGAAATAATGCTTCGATTTTCGACTTCAGTATCTTGTTCGATTGGAAAGTGAATATCGTTGGTGTATTGGGGAGGTCAAAATTTAAAATTCCCAGTACTTTTCAAAAGCGCCAAGAAAAACAAAAGAAAAATTAAGGAAAAACGGGAATTTTTACGCAAAATCGATTTTTCAGAAAATTAAATTTGGTTTTTGGTGTAACTTTAAAACAAATGACCGTAGACACATGACATTTTCACTGGTTGTTTATATTTGAATTTTCTATACACGATAACATTTTCAAAATATTTTGATTTATTTTGAACTGTTTAGGGACATTTTCATTTTTCATTTTTTTTTAGTTTTTTTTCTAGAAATATCAATAAAATTTTATTTGTTGGTTAAAAAAAAATTGAAAATTTAATAGAAGGCTCCTAGTATATTGTTTCAAAGGCAGATGAAAAATATTAAAAATCGTTAGTCAAAGTTTTTTTTATAAGCATTTAAAGTTCAAAAATTGACAAAATATGGAAAAATCACGAAAATTAGCAAATTATTTTGAGTTAAGAATTCGTAAAAATTTTCCTTTTTAAATCTAAGATCTGAAAATGTAATGCAAGATTACTCATAAGTTTGTCTACCTTTATCAATAAAAAAATCTCTACCGGACAGTCAAATTAAATTTTTAAAAGCGTTTGAAAGTCAAATTTTTACAACATTGGATGTTCACTTGATTTCTCTTGTAGCGATTTCCTTATTTTGTTTTTATTAATAAACGAATAACTATAGATACATGAAAATTTCACTGAATGTTTATATTAGCATTTCCTATACACCATACAATTTTGAAAATATTTTGACTCTTTTTGAGCTGTTTACGGATATTTTCATTTTTCAATTATTTTAGTTTTTTTTTTTTGTTTTTGAGTTTTAATACAATACATAATTTAATAATTAATTTCATTATAATTGCATCCTTCTTTCCTTTCCGGAAAACTTGTTTAAAATTTGTCTTAAGTTGTCCATTATGTGTTTTACTGTTGTCAACACTTCTATATTGTTCTATGGTAAAATCGTACCCGGTGTCCTGGTTGTCGGTACCTGCATACGGCACACATCGGCGGGATATAATAATAGAGTGATACGTTTGGGAGGCTGGCCGTTAAAATAGCCATCAACTGATCATACGAAAACCGGAAAACGTTCTTACATATTATTAATTTTATTATATTTATAGCTATTACCATTGGTTATAATTTATATAACTAATATAATTTATTATAACAAAGATAACCTAAATATTAAAATATTTTAGGGACGGCTAAGCCCTCCTAAGCCCCCCTATATTTACGTCCATGGTACGTATACAATATATTATTAAACCACATCATTGTAATTTAGATAATGATGGTTAACAGGTGTAATTTTTCAAAAAGATTAATAGTATCGCTTCATTAATATAAAATATTACAATATTAATTATATATTTTATATTGCAGATTTTGCAGGCTATATACGATGAAATTTAAAACGATGACCACACAAATGTTGGCAAAGGAAATGTTAACAAATCCTGTCGCGTGTGTGGGTGTCGCTGGTAGAACTGTTGCCCGGTAGCCGTGTTATATACGTGTTTCCTGTCAGGATGAAGGCTGGATGAAGGGGGGGTCTAGACGGGGCGGAAGCCCCTAGGCCTTCTCAAGTACCAAAATGAAAGGGGCCCAAACAATTTTAAGCTGATACACATTTTTTAGTGATTTTAAAGAAAAGTTTTTCTATATTTTAAAAACCATTTTTTTATCGACAAAAACAACTAAATAGTAAATACCTACAAAAGCACTATGTGGTAGAAAAGACGAATTCTACTGTTATTTAAAATTTTCATTGATATCAATAATATCATCAATAGTTAATAATGTTATTTATGTACCAAGAGAGCTTTTTCTAAATTAACTAGAGTAAAAAACAAGTATATAACCAGTTAAACCCAAGAAAATTTAGACATAAAAATCATTTTATATTCTGAGAATGATTTGTTAAAATCATTAGACTTAAATTAAGTACTAAGAGAGTTGGCTTCAAGTAAAGCAAGAAAAAAAATGTATTTGATAAAATGGTTTTTGTTTGATATTTGTTGTAAATGAGTATACTGTTAAAGAATTTAAAAGTTATTATGAAAATTTGAATTTAAATTAATGAAATATGAAGTATTGACTTTTATTATACTACAATAAAATGAGTAGCTTTATAGACATAAATTACATTTACCTATCAGTTTTATAATTTTATAATTTTATAATGCAATTGTCAATTTGTGAAATAGTTAGAAAAATGTATGTTCCTGCGAGCGTTTTTGTAAAGCATGTTTTGTCAAAAGGGCCCATATGAAATTTCAGTCCCGGGGCACAATAGGTTCTTAATCCGGCCTTGGTCAGGATCCTACTTAACCGGGCAAACACACGATAATAATACATAATAATAATATTATACTTAAAAATACGATTTACAATCGAAACGAAATTGTTCGAATGTTAATTTGACGCTCACAATTCGATGTGATATTTACTACGTTAATAGCAGTCGTGGGTCTCCGCTATAATATACAGCTAATAATAATTATATTATATAATATCTATACAATTATTTTGAATTTAGTATACGTATACGCACGCTGTAGACGTTTGCTGAGAAAATCCGTTCATATAAACTTCACTGTAAAAACCAAAATTAATAAAATATTGCAATATAGGTATTATATAACTTTATACACACTACACAGCACGTGTATACAGTATACTACAGTGTAAATGGGCGATATAAGACGTGTCGTGCAAGAGTGCGACACCAACTTCTCTTTGTCTAAAAAATGGGGTTGAAGTGTTGAACAATCATTGGAAATTTGTAATTATGTTGGCAGTGCCCGCGTTACTCTGCTGATATAAATATAATATAATATTATGGTTTCCTCTTTGACAGACATTTAGGTGTGAGAGTAAAATATTATTTGTGGGTACCTACCTATGTGAAACTTTAAGAGTATATTATTATATATTATAAGACGTCTACACAATGACATTTTCAAATGTGATTTTTTGGCAAAAATGCATTTAACCTACTTTAGTAGATACTTACTATAACGTCTAATACTAAAATTAATCACAATAATATCATAAAATATACCTACTTAGTAATATTATAGGCTGAAAGTCAGTCTTCGATCACAATCGTTTTTCGTATATACATTATACAATAATAATCATTGAATTCAAATTTAACACCATCCATTACATTAATCCACTAGGGCCACTTGTAACCAACTGTACTGCAGATCGACATCCACTTACCCGCTTTTTTAATATTCGTTTTGAGGCTACATTTTGGGGGAGTAAA